CCCAGTCCCAATCTGCCCCATGAGGAACATTATAAAACATAATCTATTTGAAAGAAAGAAAATATTATCATTGTCATATAAGAGATGAGTAAACCAAAGATTGATAAAGCCAATAACCTTTTCTGACTCCAGAGCATATTCACTGAACCCTAAACTCACCCTCTTTGTAAATAAAAAACAAGGACAGCGTCTGTGGTACAGGCTGATGCTAGTGTCCATACACCTGCAAAAGGATATATCAATGATTATTAACACAGTGTGATCCACTGATAGTGGATCAGATGTCATCAAATGAAATCAAGTGTCCAGAGTTCGCTGAGTACCACTGTCTCTTACATTTTGTATCTGTGTCAGCAGATTGTTTAATCTTTGTACCTGTTACCTCACATGGAACCCAGATAGCATCTTTCACTTGCCTGGCCAGGGTTGCTCTGGGTCCAGCTCATACCAGCTTGTGGATCTGCATTCAGTGCCTTCACCGTGGTAGCTTAAAATCGGCCCTGATGCAGGTACTCATGTCACTGAAATTGGCAAATGCTACATATCATGACATTTTTTTCAATATCAGGGAGTCAGATGTTAAATACTTACCAGTGTAGCACTGTCTATAGCTCAAGGAGAGGTATTGTGTGAATGGCCACACCCCTAGAGATTAACAAATTCACATGCATACACTAAAAGAACAAACAGCAATCACCTTCTACAAATATAATCATCCCTAAATCACCTCAGTATCTAAGTTTTCAGTGAATCTTCTGTCCCCATCATTCCACATTTGTGACGACCTCTTAAAGGATAACAAAACCATAGTGATTTTATACATTATTAGAAATAAAACATTTTATATTGTTTGCTATTTTGATTCCAAAAGCAAATATGACCACACATTAATCTTTTTTTATTGCAAGTAACATATAAACCATAAAATGCATACATAAATATTGTCAAATACATAGTACAAGCCTCGTGTAATTAAATTCTTCAACTAATCACATTTAAAAAAATAAGAAACAGTGAATACAAATTTTGATTATATATTTTGTCATTAGTCTGAAATATGATTTCAATAGGTAGCCAACATAAACATTGTTGAGAGATTTTTCCATCATTTTTTGATACCAACTTTTTATTTATTTATTTTTTTATTTTTTGACAGGCAGAGTGGACAGTGAGAGAGAGAGACAGAGAGACAGGTCTTCCTTTGCCGTTGGTCCACCCTCCAATGGCCGCTGCGGCCAGCGCGCTGCGGCCGGCGTACCGCGCTGATCCGATGGCAGAAGCCAGGTACTTATCCTGGTCTCCCATGGGGTGCAGGGCCCAAGCACTTGGGCCATCCTCCACTGCACTCCCTGGCCACAGCAGAGAGCTGGCCTGGAAGAGGGGCAACCGGGACAGAATCCGGCGCCCTGACCGGGACTAGAACCCGGTGTGCTGGCACCGCAAGGCGGAAGATTAGCCTAGTGAGCCGCGGCGCCGGCCGATACCAACTCTTCAAAATATATGTGTACTTTACACTTAGAGCACATGCAATTTAGATACTAAATGTTCATCAGAAACACTTGATCTGAATGCATAAAATTGCAGCTAAAAAGTAGACTCATATACCTAACCTATTTTAAATATATTAATTAAATGCTAATTTATTTAATTGAAATTTAATAAAATTCCTATTCAATTCCTCCATTGAGTTAACCACATTTCAAGTACTCATTAGTCATATGTGACTGATAGTAAACCAGATTGGTCAGCACAGATACAATCCATATATACATATTTGTCTTATGAAATGGAGTCCTATATATACTACTTCCCAAAGCTTTCTTTGTCCTCTTACACCTTACACACCTAAAATTCTCATTTGATTTCCTCAGTAAATCCCTGAGAGGAGAGAAGTCTAAATGATGCTACATAGTTTAATAGAAAATATTTATAAATTTTTCCTTCCTTACTAATGGACAGGCAACAAATTGATCTAAGGTATTTTAGGTCAGACCAATTTTCACATGCTCACCAACATGAAAAGGAGATAATAACATGAACTCTGAAATGCAAACTGTTCGAATAAATGTCTGGTGCTGATTGGGTAATTTCAAATATCTTTTTGGATTAGCCTCTTCCCTTTTTCTGTGCTGAGTTCTTAGAAAAGCTCCACCAGGAAATCAACTAATGCAATTTTGCAATATTTCATTAGTAATTGGCACCAGAATCAGAAAGTCCACATTTATTAGGTTATCTACCTGGAGCCTTGGTTTTGCAATATAAACAATTCTGTTTCTAATGGAATTTTTAAAATCAGCTCTTGCTTTTCCACTATCAGAATTGCTAGATCAGTAAAACAGTTTGTAGAAACTTATTATTTCTGATTAATTCAGCTGCTATTTTGGTGTTCTTCCTGCATTGCCTCAACAGAACTCTGGATTCCTAAATCTATTGTTTTACTTCCATCATATACTATCATGCTAACATCACATTTCTAAGGACAGCTCTGACCATTTTCCCTTTAAATACTTGACACAAATCAGAGGGTGGTTTGGTTAGTGATTCATTTTGTTTCTGCAAAATTAAAAACCACATATAAGCACATTTTCACATGCATGACTTAATATGTACTTTACTATTACTTTTGATAAAGATGATTTGGAAATCATTTTACCAAATAGATAAAATATTTTACCAGATAGATATAACCTTTACATTAAATTCACCTGTTAGTTATCATCTCTCTCTCTCTCTCTCTCTCTCTCTCTCTCTCTCTCTCTCTTTAGGATTTTTAGTTACTTATTTGAAAGAGAGAGAGAGAGTTTTTCCATCTGCTTGTTCACTCCACAAATGGCTACAATAGCCAGGGCTGGGCCAAGCTGAAGCTAGGATTCAGGAACCCCTTTCGGGTCTCCCACATGGGTGCAGGGGCCCAAGCACCTGGGGCATCCTCTGCTGCTTTCCCAAGCACATCAGCATGGACTGGAATCGGTGTGGAGCAGCCAGGGCTCAAACCACTGCCCATATGGGATGTTGGCATTGCAGGCAGCGGCTTTACCCACTACACCACTCACACTCTCACCATCTCTTACGTAGCTCTCTCTCGTCCAGTAATGACCTCTCTTCTCTTCAGTCTTGGGTCTCTTACTTTCAGTGTCCCACTAGACATGTCTGATATTTCCTGTAGTCTTGTAATTTCCTTTATCACCCAAGTATCCCAAAACATCATGTGAACTTCTCCTCTTCCTAGACCCGGATCCCAATGTCCTGATTCCTGTCTACAGTTTCACCTTATGCATATCTTCAGTCTTTTGTGATAGACCTGCCTTTTGGTCATCTCCCATGCCAAGTCATCACCAAATCTTGTCAATATTTTTCAACATTACTTTAAGATGGTATGAGGAGCAGACTTTATTCCAAGGAAAATTGACTTTTGCATATATTATGTATACCAAAATCTCTATTCATTTTCTGATTAGTATGAGTTGAAAGTGATGATTGAGTCTGGTCCTACCTTGTCAATCCAATTTTGTCACCCTTCTAATAGTGATTTGTTTTCTGCTTTACTAGCTTCCTCAGAATATTACCATAAATATGCTCAGAATTCAGCCCATAGCCAGAACATTCACACTGAACTTCTACCCCTGCAAGGTCACCACAGCCCCTTTCACTTTTCCTTGCCCCCCAGAAAACTTATCTGTCATTTAATTTTTTTAAAGACTTATTTATTTGAAATGCACAATGACAGAGACTGGGCCATGCCAGAATCAGAAGCTTAGTATTCCATCTGGGTTTCCCATGTGGGTAACAGGAGTCCAAGTACTCAGGCCATAATCTTCTGCTTTCCCAGGTGCTTATCAGGTAGCTGGATCAAAAGTGGAGCAGCCAGGGCTCAGATTTTAATACCATGATATGGGATGCCAGTGACACAAGCAGTAGCCTAACCAGCTACACCACATTGTCAACTGCTATCTGTCATTTATTTCTAATTTAAGCCCCTCAGTTCAGTAATTGATTTTTCCCCATTCTAGCCTTTCCATTTTCATAGACTCATGTGTCTTATTCTTGAAGTCAAAAACCATGATTTTGATAAAAAAAAACATGATTTTGATGGGTTTTATATTAATAACATTAGTGCATTGCATACAAGGGATCTTCAAAAAGTTCATGGAAAATGCATTAAAAAAAGTACATGGATTTCAAAATATTTTATACGAAAATAAACTTGTCTCTTAATTTTACTTTTCTGCAGACTTTTTAAAGTCTCCTTATATGAGGTTATTAGACACTAGTAGTTCAACAAATACTTGCTAATTTTAAATTAAACATAATTGAATCAATTGCTTTGCCTGGATTTGGTTATAACATGCAGGGAAAATGTCATAGCTAGCCCCTGTCTCTCCTCAAGTGCTTAGCTAAAGAATGAAAGTTAGTATCATAGGCCTAATTGTGTAGTTTGGAGGCCTGCTTTGCTGGGCAGTCTATAGCTGGATCTCACTGGTTTTCAGCTGGGTAACTTTGAGGATAGTGAACAAATGCAGACAAAAGGCTCAGGCCTAATGGTGTGAGTTCCATTTTGCAAGAATAGAAGCCCATCTTGCCTGTCTTACAGAAAATTCTGCCAAGCAGCTATAGCCAAGGAATGCGTAAATTCATGTCATGAGAGATTTAGAGGATTTTCCATAGGACTCTATTGCAAGCATTGAAATCTCAACATGCGAGTGTGCAATTTTGTAGATTCATGTGAAGAATGCTGACCTCTACTTAAATTGGTAAGTAGAGTCTGTTATGCTAACATTTTCAGGCATGAGGACCCCTTTTTCTGCCAATGGCTATTTGGATATTTATAACAGCATTCAAGAGCCATACAAAATTATCAGCTTAAAAATTAGCCTGCTATAGATTTATTGAATTTTGGGTACCATCTGTGGTTACCTTGGCTGGGCCAGACCAAACGATCCTGCAGGCCTTATACAGCCCATGAGCTACATGTTCCCCACCCCTGCTTGGACTCTTGTACTTTATGACCTAATGGTTGTATGTGGTAAGTTTGGGTACCTGGGCAAAATAGACTTGGGAAAAGGGAATACTGGAATATTCCTCTTGCTCACATCTGGCACATCATTGAGTAAGGTTCCAGACTGTGTGTGTTGGCACGGTGCCCTCTCCTAGGGATATTTTATCTCAGCTAGAGCCTAATAAAGGATCCTCTCATGTAGAAGCTGCCACATGAAGCTCTGCAAAGCTGGATGCAGGTAGTGTACAATCAAATCTAGTGGGATGTCTGTTACCCAGTACCATAGGATGGCATTAAGTGTATTCTCCAGGGAAATGCAAAGGGGGCTACTCTTGGAGTTAGTCTTACTGAGCCAATGTCATTGGAAAGGAAGGGGACATTGAATTCTAATAAGGCAGTTACCTGCTATCTAATCCGAAGTTTCTTTACTCTTACCTGGCTACATGTGAAGTGTTACAGTTAGGTCCCTATTCAGTGCTCCAGGTGGTGGTAAACTTATCCTCTGGGAGAATCGCAGTTTTTTAAACTTGTATGCTCTAGAGTGTGTGCACTGATTGCTGCTTAATTTTCTTTGGAGATTCTGGTTTGTTTTTCTTTGTTTTGTGAGACAGAACATGTTCTATGGAAGTATGGCTTGTAAAAAAATTGTGACAATTCCAATTTTTTATTTGAGGGGAGGGGAGTTCACGTGGAAACAAAAGTTTTCAAAAATTTGTGGATTTGGTGGTGGTAGTGGTGGTGGTGTGCTATCTGCTGTTCATCTGAAGCAAAAGTCACTTGTTTCTGGCATTTGCAAGGTCTCTTTGAAGTATAGAAGAGGTGACCTCTACAGTAGAAAATGCACCATTTGGAGAAATGCAAAACTTTGCATTGAGGAAGCAAATATGGCTTCCCTGGGGTTGGAGATCCATTCTTTTTTTAAAAAGATTTACTTATTCATTTATTTATTTGAAAGTCAGAGTTACACAGGAGAGAAGAAGAAGCAGAGAAAGAGAGAGAGAGAGAGAGAGAGAGAGAGAGAGAGGTGGTCTTCCATCCGCTGGTTCACTCCTCAGTTGGCCACAATGGCCGGAGCCGTGCCAGTCCAAAGCTTCCTCCAGATCTCCCACATGGGTGCAGGGGACAAAGGACTTGGGCCATCTTCTACTGCTTTCCCAGGTCATAGCAGAGAGCTGGATCGGAAGTGGAGCAGCTGGGACTTAAACTGGCACCCATATGGGATGGCGGCACTGCAGGCAGCAGCTTTACCCACTACTTCACAGCGCTGGCCCCTGGAGATTCATTATTACTACCTGACACAAACATAGCCTGTCCCTGTGGAGTCTACTTTCCCTGACACTTGAGTGTGGGAAAATTCTATTAGTAAAAATTAACACCGTATGCAGAGTCCAGTTCCTCAAGGCTTTTTCTACTTTATGAAAAAATCAAATTATAGGGAAATACTCAGTAACAACTGGATGGCATTTTCAACCTATGATATGTTTGTTTTCAGCCTTTTTAATAATATATTTCTGCTGGAGGCTACAAAATAGGATTACATAGCCTATTCTTCTAGGAGTAAAAACATAGGGACAGATGCTCAGAGTTCACATTTGCAAAGTTGACAAGGTTGACGCAAGACCACCAGCCCAGTGCCTTCCAGGTTAGGAATTAAAAACATAGATGTTGTAATAACTGCAACTCAACATTTTTTGAAATCTCACAGCTGACAAATTGTGTTCATCTGCACTTTCACACTGATTCTGTCCTGACTCCAGGAGCTGTGCATGAGGGGAAGGGTGATTCATCATGCGTGCGGGTGTGCACATGAGTATTCAGATGCAGGAAGATATTGAGTCCATGAAGAGATGTATTTTCTTAAATAAGAAGTTTTTAAGAACATAAAAATTTATTGGACAAAAAAAATTGGGTCTCTCACTATCAAGAAATGAAAGTAGAGGACATCAGAAATTTTACGCCCTTTCAAAATTACTTTGCCATGGTTGGAGTGATGCCGATTTGCTGATTAATATTTTCCAAAATTAATAAGCCTTGTGGATTCTTGCCATGAATTCAGAGAAGAGATCTGAATACTGGCTCAAATAAATCAGGCAGCATGGTAAGTTCTTAAGCTTTTTATTCAGTGAGAGGAATGTATAGGAGAGTGAGGGCTTTAAAGGAGAAAGGAAAGTCTGCAAATTAAGTTGGGGCCATACCAAGCAGAGAGCAGGCCTAGAGCCACCTGCAACAAGCATGTGGTTTTGAGCAGCTGTTAGCAGCTTAAGGCAGGCAGCAAAGACAAGGCAGAGAGCGCAGGTGGCCCAAAGGCCACGGGCCCTGATGGCACAGAGCAGCAATGGCAACAAAGGTCCATAATGGCAAAAAAGGGCAGCAAAAACAAAAGTGGGCGGGGCCAACATGTGTCAGGTCTTTTATCCACTTCCAAAGGGGACTGGTCAGGTAGGTAGCCTGATTGGCAGGTGGGAATACAGGTGTGGTCAGTTAGGGGCATGAGATCACACAGGGACGTGGTGAAGGCGTGGTCTTCCAGCTCACAAACCAAATCAATTCTATCCTATATGCTTGCCTACATCAGGAGGATCCCATGAATACAAACGTTGCTACAAACATTGCTCATCCTTTCAACCTTATTTGCGATAGCAAGAAGGGCTATTTCATTACGGTCAAGTTAGCATAGTGATAAAACTGAAACCCTTAGAGGCCCTGGTGTGTCGGTCAGGTATGGAGTCAGCTGTGAGTAGTTCAGCTTTATGGAAGACTCACCATTCAGCTTTAAAGCGCACTCGTCAGATGCAGCCACAGCTCTACAAAAGACAGCGTTCTGGATTGACTTTGAACCCGCCTAAGCCTGTCTTAGAGCTTCTGCATGTGGGTATGCATATTCTTTTTCCAGAGAAGCTTGTTTTCTCCAGATAAAGGTGTGCACCATCCAAGCTGTGTTGATCTGCTCCCTGAAGGAAGGGCCCAGTCTGTGGGATTCCAAATGGGCCACTTGGGATTCCAAATGGCCACAAATCCATCCCTCTTGGTGTCTGAGGTGTTCCGTGCCTGGTCCTTTCAGAGGCCACATTCTTCATAAAATTGAAAACAGGAAAGAATGCCGTGTCCAAGGGAGGCCACCAAGCAAGCACAGAGCTGCTGCTTTCTTTTGCTTCCCAGCCTCCTCCTGCTCCCCTTCTAGTTACCCCTCCTTGGAAGACCTCATTAGCACAGTGTTTTTGTGTGTTAATTGGGCTTTTTTGATGACTAGAAAATGCACTGAAGAAAAGATCCTTCAGTGAATTGTTTTCCTTTATGTGGTATGTCCTGCCCAAGGCCCCATGCTTGGGGATACTGCTGGCCAGTTTTTCTATTTCCAGATTGAATTAAAGTGAACCCGCCTTGTTATTGAAGCAGTGATTGGGGGTCATTTGCTGTGAGGTGGTTCTGTGGCCATCAGCCAGGAGGTGAAAATCTAAGTGTCCTTGCTATTTCCTGAGAACACTCACAGGAAATAGAACTTATTGTATCCTGCTGTTTGTGCATGAAAAATACGACCATATGAGGCTGTTCTTGACCTGGCTTGTCAGCTCAGTCATGGTCATGGTTTAAGCTTTCTTTAAACAGTATTTCATGATAGTGGTTTGCTTATAATTGCTGTATTCATTGTAATCCATTTGTGATTGCAGGTCCTACAGGTATGGATCTCTGGCAGCTGCTGTTGACCGTGGCACTAGCAGGGTCAAGTGATGCTTTTTCTGGGAGTGAGGGTGAGTTTGTTTTCCTTTTTCCACCCCCAGCATTTTGAAACAACACTGAATCTTAGTTGTTAAGTCCAAGCTCTTTGAATGATTTGATTAAAAGATCCAAGTTTTTAAGTAGCAGCAAACAAGAAACATGTCTTAGCTTTAAAATCACAAATGCAGAGGTCTTTTTCTGTGGTTGTTTTAGGAGAAATACAGTAGTCAGCTTTGGGATCCGGTGTTTTTACATCAAAAATAAATGCTACAAATCATGTGGAGGGCATTTATGTTGAAGACAAGCCAGGTCTCTGGTGCCCAGGCTCTGGGAAAGATATTGAAATTGCCCTGGAGGGTTACTAACCTACTGATCACTTGGCTCATCTGTGACGAAAGATACCATAGTCTATTTCCAGAGCGGAATTCAGTCCCCTTAATCATATTCTGTGACAGAGGAAATTGCAGGTTTCAGATGAATTTCACCTCTCCCTCTCTGGGTGATTGCCATCTGGCTACGTTTGAGGGAGCAGACACCTGAAATGGTTGAACGATGCACCTAGAAGTGTGAGCTTCTCTGGCAGTCTTTGTAATTCTCACTTTTTCATATCTTTCTCCTAATAGAGATGTGTCAATTTACAGATATGCATGGATTTAACATTTTTACATGAAACCAAACTTATCTTTCCATTCCATTTTTCCATGAACTTTTTGAGATTCTCTTGTATTCCGACTTAGATTTCAGAGCAAAAATAACTGAAACAAGCAAGAGTAATAAAAGGCTAAGGCAAGCAGGATTTTTTTTTTTCTATCCAGAGGGCAAGTTGTGCTTATTAAGGGGAGGAAGAGTTTTTATTTTCTTTTATATGATTATTTATTCATTTAAAAGCAGAAGAGAAAGGAGAGAGAGAATCTTATATTTGATTGTTCACTCCCCAAAGGCCCCCATATGTCAGGGCTGAGCCAGGCTGAAGCCAAAAGCCTGAAACTGTACCCAGCTCTCCCATGTAGGTGGCAGGTACTCTTGAGCCATCACCTACTACCTCACAGGTACATTAGCTGGAGGCTGAATGAGAAGCAGAGTACCCAGGACTTGAAGCAGCACTTCTACATGGGATGTTGGCATCCCAAATGGCAGTATAACCCACTGTACCGTGCCATAGCATCTGCCTCTGGAGAATTTTTAAAAGAGCACCCTGAGTATTTGATTGTTTTTCTTTCCTGGGCTTCCACAGAGAAAGAAATAGTATATTTTCCCCCATGCTATGACATGGAATTCAGTTGTGCTTTAAGGGTCGTTGACTCTTCTACTCTCTACACAACTCATGATGGAAAGCACAATTTAACGGCAAACTAGCACCTGAAGATATCCTCCCTGACCCTTCAGCCAAAAATAAATCCATAGTAGTGAGTTGCTCAGGGTGACCAGAGTAACTTAGAAACAAGAAGGGTAAAATATGTTATTTTATCTCCTAAAACAATTTGAAAATATTTATAGAAAAGGAGTCATAATTGTTTGAAATATGTGTATGTTTCTCTGGTGTTTTAATGTCAACATTATGCAAGTCAGTGTGGAGAGAAGTGCAGGCTCCATTTCAGCAGTTTTCCCATGGCTGGTTTTAGACTCTGGTTTGGAGCCAAAGAATTAAAGCTGAGATCCTCTGCTGTTCCAAAGCCATGGCTGTTAAATCTCTCCTTTCTTCATTAAGGTGACTTTCACTTCCCTGAACAAGACTTGAGGAATTAAAAAAAAGAAAAACCTGTGAAATAAAAATTATGGTATGGGAATAGCTAAAGGAATTTAAAAATGCATCTACTGAGAGATTAGAGCTCTTGCAAGCAGCATCTCCTTCAGCTACTTTTTAGTAAAGTTTTGACTTCATAAAGAGACTGGAGAAATAAAACACCATTATTGGGCTTTTAAAAAACAACATTGTCATATATATTTAAGGCTTACATTGTGATATTATAAGATATATTTATGAGGCAGTGGTTACCATACTGGAACAAAGTAACATATCTACCATCTCAGGTAGTTTCCATTCTCCCTGCTTCATGGCAATATCAGCTATAATCTGTTCATTTAGCAAAAATCCTGAAACCAATACTTGATGATTAACTGTATTCGTTGTGTTGTATATTATTAGATGTTTCAACCTGTTCATCCCACATGTTTGCTGCTTGGTGACCTATGACATTTATCTTTCTCATTTTCTTCCTTACACTGACGCTGGCAGCCACTATTTATTTCCTGCTTATATATTATTTGGCCTTCTTAAATATTCCACATATAAGTGACATCATGAAATACCAATTTGACCTCCAGGTTCTCCTGTTATGCCAAATGAAAGGATTTCCTCCTTTTTTAGGGCAGAATTATAATATGTTTATATACACCACATTTTTACTCTTATCCATTTACCCATTGATGGGCGCCAAGGTTTTTCCATTTATCTTGACTATTGTGAACGATTATGTAATAAACATGGGAGTCCATGGGGTAGGAATTATGGCACAGCAAGTTAAGCCATGCCTTATGATGCCCAAGACCAAGTCTCTCCTTTGCTTCCAGTCCAGTTTCCTGCTAATGCACCTGGGAGGCATCTATGATGGCCCAAGCACTTGAGTGCTTGCCACCCACAAGAGAGACCCAGATGAAATTACTGATTCCTTGCTCTGGCTTGATCCAGTCTAGCTATTCAGGACATTTGGGGAACAAATCAGTTGGTGGAATCTCTCTCTCTCTCTCTCTCTCTCTCTCTGTTCCTTTCCCTCTCTCCCTCCTTCTGCCTTTCAAATAAAAAAAAAATGAACAAATTTGGAAATAAATATGGGAACATAGATATGAGTATACCTATGAGATAGTGGTTAAATTTCCTTCATATAGCTGTTCTCTTTTGTTTTAGTTTTATTTATTTGAAAGGCAGAGTGACAGAAAGAGTGAGATCTTTCATCTGATAGTTTACTCCCCAAATGACTGCAAAAAGTCACAACTGGATCAAGCTGAGGTCTGATCCCAGGAACTCCGTCTGGGTGTCCTACATGTGTGGCATGAGCCAAGCACTTGAGCCATCGTCTGCTGCCTCCCAGGATGCATTAGCAAGAAGCTGAATTGGAAGCAGAGTAACCAGAATTCAAATGGACACTGGGTCATGGGATTTGGGCTGTGCAAGCTGCAACTAAACCTATTGCTTTTAACATAATGTCTATCCCCCTTTTATCTGGTTTTAATATTTGCTTCCTGATTTGCTTTGCAATGTTTTGCTTACTTCCTTTAATACATTTGATCTTAGCCAAAAGGCTGAGAAGTGATGCTTATTTCTTTTATTGGTGTGTTTAGAAAGAGCAGAGCATAAGAAAATGCAATGATTTATAATAAATACAAATCATATATTCCTGTCAGTACTTACATACAGAAAGTAATTTAACAAAATTAGATTGTTTTTTCTTCTTTTTTTTCATGTTAGACTACCCAAAATTCCTTTGGAATATATGAATACTCCATATGCTTCCATAAAATGTCTGGGGATTAAGGATGAAGTATGATGCTTACATAAGAAAGTATAGGTGAGCATGGTCAGGCATGTGTGTGCATGCTGTTGTGTGTATGTTGTGTGTGTGTATGTGTGTGTGTGTTTGCCAGTTTGACCACTTATGGGTTCCAACAAAGGTACCACCTGTAGACATGCATCATGATCTCACTTGACATTGTGTTTCTCTTTCTGCCAGATTTAGATTAAATCAGTTTATTTTTATTTTCTCTTCCATTGTATATGGCACACTAAAAATATAGGTAACGAATTTTTGAAAAAAAAATACAGACATGAGTGTAGATTCACAGGCATTTATTTTAATTCAGATTGGCCAGCAGAAGATGTAGCCTTGCTAAGTAAGTGCTCTCAGAGTTACCCAGGAGTGGAAAAAGGTGACAGATATGTAGACTTAGGGAAAGATCTGGAAGCCTTCAGCCGGGATTTTTCTTGAGGGTAAAGATAAACAATTAGCTATATACTAGCCCTGAGAGTATTATTTTATTAAATTTAATTGCCCTGTGGGGAATTTAATGAGACATAAACACTAAACAATCCTCTCAAGGTATTAGCGAGAGTATTGTAATAGATGTTCTCCCTGTCTCTCATCTTTAATATGAGGTTCTGTGTGTGTTCCTGAAAGCAAATTGCATAGTCTCAGGGAGAATTCCTTATTCCAAAATCAAGAATGACTGACAGGGTCTCCAGCACTGTAGTAAATCAGGTAAAGCCACTACATGCAGTGCCAGCACCCAATATGGGCACCGATTTGAGTCCCGGCTGCCCCACTTCTGATCCAGCTCCCTGCTAATGCACTTGGGAAGCAGTAAAAGAAGGTCCAGGTCCTTGGGTCCCTGCACCCACATGGGAGACCCATAAGAAGCTCCTGGCTCCTGGCTTCAGATCAGCCCAACTCTAGCCATTGCAGCCATTTGGGGATGAAAGACCTCTCTCTCATTCTCTCTCTCTCTCTCTCTCTCTCTGCCTCTGCTCTCTGTAGCTCTGCCATTCAAATAAGTAAGTAGATCTTTAAAAACATGACTGACAATGCTTCATTTTCAGAAGGCTGTATTAGCATGACCTATAAATGGTTGTATCATAATGGCTGTTTCTGGAGCAACATTGCCTATGAGAAATGTGCATAAAGATCTGATGGATATAAACATTCTGCTAGAGTGCCTGCTACAAATTAGGTCATTTATTTTTACTATGTCAGTCAGTTCACAACTGTTCATTCCCTCTGACCTCAGAAATCTAATGTGGAAGTAGGCAAGCTTCTGTCCTGCAGTCTACCTAGGATGTGAGAAACTTCCAGAAATGAATGAGGGTTCGAACATCTAGATTGGTGAAGAAAAATAGTCAAGATGCTCTTAATAAAAAAATCAAGGCAGACTAGAATAGTTAACTCAATGAATTCAACGTACATATTTCTTAAGAACTTCTTATTGGTGCCAGCATTGTGGCACAGAGCGTTGAGCTGCTGTTTGCAATGCCAGAATCCCA